AGTAGTGTAGCTCGAGAGAGTCTCTCGGGAGGCTGGATTAGCCACAAGTTGTGGTGAACCAGGGTAAAATCGGTGTGCCTCTTACTCTTCTCTTTACTTCTCGTTTATTCATTTTTTATTCCTGCGATTTTTGATCAAACGCTATTCACCCCCCCTCTAGCGTTAGTCTCTTATTCTAACAATTGGTATCAGAGCCTAACTCGCGTCCAAACTTAACCGTTTGAGAGTAAAGCGATCATGGGCTCTTCTTCTAGAAATCTCTATGTAGGAATTGGAGAAGGTCAATCAACTTTTAGGCCACCACTCTTTGATGGCACCAACTACTCTTATTGGAAGGAACGGATGAGAATCTACATTCGTTCCACCAACTTCCAATTGTGGTTGGTGATCAAAAATGGCGAAGAAATCCCTATGAAGAAAGTGGGAGAAACCACGGTCCCAAAGACCGAAAACGAATTTGATGCCGAGGACATCAAAAAGGTCGAGAATTATGAAAAGGCAATAAACATGCTTTATTGTGCCGTAAATCCTGATGACTACCGCAAAATCTCTTGCTGCTCAACCGCCAAGGAGATGTGGGATAAACTTGAGGTGACGTACGAAGGAACGGACCAAGTACGTGAAGCCAAGATCGACTTCCTCACCCAAGAGTATGAGATGTTTAGAATGAAGGAGCACGAAAACATCGACGACATGTTCGATCGATTCTCCAAGATAGTCAACGATCTTCATACTTTGAAGAAGACCTACACCGATAGGGATCTTGTGCGAAAGATCCTACGGAGCTTGACATCCGAATGGCGATCTAAGGCCGATGCCATCTATGAGTCAATCGGCACATCAAATGTCACCATCGACGGTTTAAGAGGTAACTTAAAAATGTATGAATCTACTATACTTAACCCGTCTTTGAATGACCAGAGAAAAGGCATAGCATTAAAAGCCTCCAAAGAATCGACAATGAATGACTCAAGCGATGATGATGAAGTCAAGCTTGTCATGAAGAAGTTTTGCAAACTTCTAAGAAATAAAGAAAAGGTTGAGGATGGCCCTGTGTGCTATGGATGTGGTGAAGCCAGGCACATCAAGAACAAATGCCCGAAAAAACACTCGCCGTTTCAAAAAGCACAGAGCATATATCTCATGGGGTGGCGACTCCGGCGACGAGTAAACTGATCAAGAAGAGGAGGAAGCCGCCAACCTCTGCCTCATGGCGCATGAAGATCAAACCGACGTCATTCAAGAGGTATGTACCATTTCTTCCGACTCTTATACTTTTGAAGAAATGCAAGAAGCACTTCATGAGCTTTATGACGAATTTGTTAGCGCTTCTAAAACAAATAAATCACTAAAGAAACATCTTTCAACCCTTGAAAATGATTTTGAAAAGCTGGAAAAAGATAATGAAAGGTTGAAACAAGAAAACAAATTTTATGGTAAAAGAAGCGCTGACAAACCAGAAAGTTCTTCAAGTGGATGTGAATCTTGCAAAATCTTAAAAGAAAAGGTTGCAAAACTTGAGAGTACGGTTAAGAAGTTTAATACACCACACAAAGATCTTAATTTACTCCTTGACACTATGCATTTTTCTAAGGAAGGAATAGGTTTTGATAAAAATAAATCTAAAGTTAAAGAAAACGTTGAGCCACCATCTAGACAACCATCTAAGGCTCAACGTAAGAAACCCAAAAATCAGGATAATAGGAAACCTAGTCAACGTAAGGACACTAGACAACCTAGACTAAAACCTAGGAATGAAAATGTTCATGGTAGACAACCTAAGAAAAATGATTTTGTGCATAATAATTTTTCTCAAAATAGGAGAAATAACATAAGGACACCTAAAAATGATTCTATTAAAAACATGCATAAAACATCCTTTTCTCAAAATAGGATGAATATGGTTAGACGACCCCCTAGCTATTATCAACCTAGGCATATGTTCAACCCAAACGTAATAGGGCTTTTAGCCCTATTTATAATAATGACTAAGCACGTTTCTGCTCTTTCGACCGGTCAGTCCCAAACTGGTCAGCTTGTATGCCTTCGTCAAACGAAGTCATGTCTGTGATTCCAAATCTTCTCACCCCTGACTGATCAGACTGCCCGGGTTGACCGGGTCATAAAGCGTGTGATTTGATACCTCCCTGTTGGTATGAACCTACCGGGTGGTATCCACGGGTTATTACCCATCAAGGAGTTCTCTGATTCCCGGCTCTGTGGGTACCATCACGGGCGGGAAGCATATGCAAGCTCTTTTTTTCAAATTTCAAATCCCCGGGTGGTTTTGGCGGGAAAAGGGCCTTCGTAAACTGGCGCCGAAAACATATTTGAATTTTAAATTTCGATATCTCAGGCGTTAAACGCGGGGGAATCTTTATTGGAATCCGGTACTGTGCCACCGATTTGTCGCGTCGTTTCGTCTTCCCGAGAAGTTATCATTACGAATCATTTCGGCTGCCACGTGTCGCTTCCCCATTGGTCCGGCTGGGCGGCACTTTCCCTATATAAAGCGAGGTTCCCCACCGAATTTTCTCACTTGCAATTTGCTATCCAAAAAACTACCCGGTTGCTACTACTATCTCTCGAGTCCTCCGAGTCTTCTAGTTTCAAGTAAGTCTCTTTTTCCTTCTTTATCTCTTTGAGTCATGTCTGAAGACAGTCAGAACCCTTCCGTTCATTCTTACGGTTCTGATGCCCGGTCTCAGACTTCCAGTTCCAAATCTTCTTCTTCTTCTGAGCGCCCGGCTACTTCTCCACAGACGAAGCCGGTCGACGCTTCCACTTGTGCCCCTTCTTCATCCGCGGCACAAGTGGTCACAGTTGCCCGGTCTATGAACAAGGGCTTTATCCCGCTGGATGACCGGTTGCTCTTGGAGGAGCTGTCGTACATGCAAAAAGCTCAAATCCATGAGCTACGCAACCTTATGCCCTATGGTTACCAATTGTCCTTCCGGGCAACGTGGAAGAATATTATTTCCCTCCACACCGGTACAACGATTGCTATCC